TGGTTTTAAAGGGGAAGTATATGGATCCCGGTCAAAGTTGGGCGATGTCTTGGAATTGGTCCAAACGCAAGCAGAAAGAGGAAGGCTTCCGTAGAACAGCTGCCAAGTGAAGTCTTGTGGAGTGACAAGCATCTTCCACTACCACGCTAGACCAGCTAGGCGCAAAATTCAACGAGTGTTTGGTGGGTCTCTGCCACAGCCACGCACCTTGCAGGTGGTTCGTTGTTAATGGTCATTGATCGGCTGGCGGGGTTCAACCAGTTGTGCCGTTGAAGGAAGGCGCGATTGTCTCTTTCCATAGGCTGTTTCATCTGCGCTTTCTCGCCATCAGTTCGCCCTTTTGCGCCGAACTCTTTGGTGAATATGGTTTTGCCCGATGCTCTGTCCGCAGCCCGCTTGCCTTTTGCCTGCGCAAGTTTCAGCAAGCCTTTCCCTCAGTCAGGCGTGGAGTGCAGACTCCACGCACAGGCCTCACCAAGGGTACCGTTCAGTTTCTTGGGACCTTGGAGGCGTTGAGCCCGCAGAGAGGCCGGCTGAACTATGCCAGCTTGAATGCCGTGGCTGGTTTGGGTGATGGCTATGCTAACCAGGTTCCATGCTGGCCATGTGGCCTGCTTGTAGCCCTCACTTTTGCTTTGCAGCCTGAGCTCCGTTGCCGCTGGTCCAGATGATGCAGTAGTACAATAGAAAGCCACTTGCTTGGCAGAGTCAGTGCTTACAACCGCCAGGCCTGAACATGATGCTTGTTGACAATCAACCCACCACCCGGGTCACCACCCCCTCCAAAACTCACCCCGAACAGTACCGCAAGGCGCTTATTTTTATTCCTCGGTAGCCAATGATGGGAGTGGCTGAGCTGCGTTCCAGGCGCGATATATCCGACGCCGAAGGTCGGGGAACAAGAACCGTCCCGAAACAAATCACGGCAAAAACAACATGACATCAGAGTTTGGTGGGGTTTCATGTCCACCAACCACTTGTGAGGCGGTTGCGTGTTTGAATGCATAGACAAATACCCAATTGTACAAAGGGATCTTTTGATGGGAAACGCACTGGTATGTTAATTTCTGAAGAGTGTCCCTTCTAGCACTGTATTGTATACAATCAAGGGTTCGGGAGCTTTGACTCTCTCCGTCTTTCTCTCTCTCTCTCTCACTCTCTCTCTCTCTCTTTGTCTCTCTCTGTCTCTCTCTCTCTCTCTTTGCCTCTCTCTCTCTCTCTCTCTCTCTCTCTCTCTCTCTTTCGCTCTCTCTCTCTCACTCTCTCTCTTCCTCTCCCTCTCTCTTTCTGCCTGACGTTGCTCATGAGAAGCACGTGGCATGTCTTCCTTGCGCCCTCAGGCTGGTGCTGGCATTTCTCTGCGGCGTCTCTGGCGAGACCCTGGACTCGCTCCACATCCATCCTGTGCCTCAGGAAGCAGAGAGAGTCGACTCGAAGGCTTCCGAGCAGAGCCTGGCCCCAGGTTCCCGGGTTGTGGCATTCCTTTGGTGCATGTTGCCAAGGGATGTGAGGACTTTAAAACTTTTTGCCAACGAATTTGGGTTTTCCGCATTAAACCACTAAAAGTTAGTCACTTTTAGGCAGGGGAGCAGAAAGCGACCGAGGGATCAAGGGGTTTATCCCAACTTCTGTGGCTTCTTTTTCTAGGGGCTTATATAGTCTTTGAGAAGCCCTTTTTGCTGGCATCACAGAAGTGGTCATTTCCCACAGCCCTGCCCAGAAATGCTTGAGGCAGGGTGCAGGCTCTCCTCTATATTTCCATCCCAAGTACGGATAGAGAGCAGATCGGTGTCTGCACTTGGAAGTTTCGGATGCGGTTTGCGCGAGAAATGGCACAAGCACTCAATTGTTGCCTATTGCAACAGTGCGCGGAATTCCCTGTATTGCAACCATATGGTTGTGGCTCAAAACGTAAGGTGCCTTTTTGGGGATGGTTACCACTCCACTGTTGTCTTTCTAGAAGGCTTTCTGGGTCACCGGGGTTTTGACTCATAGCCATATTCGCCTCAAAATGGTGGAGCCCATGCAAAAGCCTCTTCCCTGCTCGTTTTCCTAGCTCCAAGCAGGATTATGTCCCCAGATTCATAAACCCCTGGTTGATTTTGATCGGGGGGTGTCCAATTCCTGTTAGGGATTGAGATGACTTTTGGAGGGAACGTCCCCCTAATAACAATGCTCCTTAAAAGATACATTTTGCCCATTTGAAACATGTTGCTTTTTCAACACCAAAATAAAGGGAAACAACACCATTTACAAGTTGCAATGTTCAGGTGTATAATGTAAAGATCCCTATTTTACCATGATCAAAGTCAGCCCCTGAGTGGTGGGTTAAAGGGAAATAACCGAGTCCATTTTCTGATCCCTGAATAATGGGAGGGGTTCATTAAGCCTGGGTCAAAATTCTCCCCAGACGCGCGCTTCCGAGTCCTCGCGCCTGGCGGCCATCTTCCAATCTGCCGCCGGGAGCGGCGGGCAGCTGGATGACGGCGAGCGGGCCGCCTTCGCCCCTTGGACTGCACGCTACGGTGCCTCTTGCTTTTTTTCGAGGCTCGGTGTCCTTTTTTCGGGATTTCGGGTTTCACAAGGAAGCCAAAAGGAAAACCCCCGCATTTTGGAGGATTTGCAGATTAAGAATGTGGTGAGAAGAGGCGATGTGGCATGTGGGTGGTTCTGCTTTTTTGCATGTACCACCCTGCTTTGCGGGTTCCCCTCTCGTCCATGCTACTTCGCTTCCAAGGGAAGAGGCGACGTTGGCCCCTGGCACGTGCAAGGTGCCATACCCAGGCAGCGAACCAAGGTGGAGTGCCGCGGAGCAACCGCCATGTGAACATTGCCTATTAGCTAATCCTTGCAGAGAAAGGTCGTGGCCCTTTCACAACAAACGTCTTTCACAGGTTTTTCTTTGGCAGGATGTTTCGTAGTCCGCAACAAGGCCAGTTCTTCTCCCGTCCGATGTTCGATGCATCTCCTCGCAACCGTTTCGTGCGAGAGTCGCTTCTCGAGAGCATCGACATGGGTGCACTGGCGCCAACTCTAAAGCAGGCGAAACTCTGAGACACCACTGCGTGATTTGCTCTTTTTTTTTTTAAAGAAATAAAATAAAGAGGGCTTGAAGGGACACCACCGTTTTGGGGTGCCCCTATGCGACACATGCAGCTAGGGTGACGAAGTCATTGCATGAAAGGTGATTGATACCGGTACAGGGCATCTTTCTGAGCCCGTAAAAAAAGGTGATAAAACGGTTGGTCTCCTAGGTCCCCAGCAGTGCCCTTTTACAATTTATTTTTTGGGGGGAGGGTTCCCCTACTAAAATAGAACAGAAAAAGTTGGTACCCTTAGTCTAACATGTCTAACCTCTCTACTGGAGGACCTAGTCTCAATCGGTACCATTCGACATCCCACCGTTTGCCGCAGGCCGAAGGCTATGATGAATTTCTTCCTTTTGCTTCAGCCACCCCCCCAAAAAAACAAAAAAAAGAAAGAATGAAACCTAAAACCGCCTTGAAGGAGACGCCGAATCTGCGAAGAGAAACCCCAAGCCTCGCTACCCCAAAACGGGTCCCGGACCCCGCGAGGCGCGTACCTTGGAAAAAACGTTCTCTCGACTGGGTGGAGAAGTTCTTGTTCAGTCTGTTTCCGAAGCCAAAGACCACCCGCTTGGTTGGTGACACCACAGGTACCGCATGGTTTGTTAGGTCCGCTATCACACACAACATGGCTGTGGGTCAAAACCAATGGTGCCATTTTGGGGTAGGTGCACCACCCATTTTAATCTATTTTAGTGGGGATTGGGATGTTCACTGGAGGTACGGGATTTTGACCCATGGCCATATGTTTAGCTTCACCTCCCGAAGCACATGAGAGTTCGAGATGCTATCATGCTGCTTGGAAGCTCGCGTTGCTTTGCGCAACAAGGCACCCAAAGTCCAAAAACGGCCGTTTTTGGGCCGACACCTCACTTGACACATCTGGCCCTTCAACTCGGCTCCAGTTTGAAGGAGGACCCCGAAACTGGAGGCGAGTTTGGCCACGATGGCACATCGGGTGGGTCTCTCAAAACCAGGGGAATTCCCGGAATGGCACCTTGGCAAAAGGCCACATGTTTTACCGCCTGGTTCTTGGTGTTCACTGGGCACCTTGGTTGTCTTGACGCTGGAACCAAGCGCGCAACCCGAGTTTACCGGGGATTCCCGGTGACGCTTCAGGCGGCGGCCAGCGAGGAGCTCGTGGCCGGCTTCTGGCTCACGGCGCGGGGCGTTGCGGTTCGGTTCGGGCGGGTTGCGCCCTGGAGACATGGCTTGGTGCCACAGGGAAGGTGGGAATGAGCCCAGGCTTTCGTCCCCCAGATTGTCCCCTCAAAGAAAACCAGTAGGGATGGTGTAGGAGGCTCATTCCCAAGATTCCCTCCTGCAAGATGGGAGGTTTTTCTGAACATGGAAAAGCCCCTCTTTTGGCGAGCTGCTAGGGGAAGAAAGGAAACCAAGGCAGTTTCGGGACCGATTGATTCCGTTTTTGGTTTGAGGAGTTCCCTGGAAAGAGCAAAAGCGAATCTAGGGAGCGACAGTCGGAGATTGCCACGGTGAAGGGGATGGTAGTGGTGCTGTGCACGACTGTGCATGGCGGTCAAGTCGCCCGTTTGCTTGCACAAAACAAAGTGCACAAGCAACATGGACATGAAACCAAGCCAAAAGCGCAACCAAAGGCACAAACCATGGCCAAACACACACGCAGACACACAACAGCCCAGGTGGTGATTCCCCCCCGGAACCCGGATCTCTCCGCTCGCCGGGCTTGCGGACCTCATTCCGGCGGGTTTCTCAAGCGGAGGGGTTGGCTCAGGCACCTTTTAACCCAGCTCCCCCCGCCTGGTGCGATAGGTAGGGAATGGCCGAAGGGTTGTGGGAATGAACCGGTCTTGAGGTTTCCCGAAGCAAAAAGGAAGCCAAACGAATAAAGGGCACCACATCGGTTGGAGTGTTCCTATTTTGGGGTCAGTCCAAAATTCGTTGTTTCTTTCTCCAAGAGTCTCAATTTTTTCCACCCGGCTATTGATTTTGGGGTCAGGTCCAACAAAATCTCATTTTTTTCCCCATCGACCCCGATCGCAAGCGGACGTCACGACGTCAAGCGCCGCCCGCTTCGAGCCGCCAGGCGCCCATGGAGGTGTCCTTGTACTCCGCCAGTGGCTGTGGCGGGGAGGAGGTGCCGGTGCTGAGCTCCGGCGGCGCGGGCCAAATGGGGCGGGTGGCGGTCCTCTCGTATGTGGGCGTGGGTCAAAATAAAAACCACCAGGAATCAGACCACAGGGTTTAGGTCCTTGGTTCCATTTGCCAAGCCATTTTGGGTACGCATTGTTGACCCACAGCCATGTAGCCCAAGGAATCAAAGGCCACTTCCCCTGTCAAAGTGCCCTATGCAAAGAAGCTGTCTCAAGCCTGGGCATCTTAGTTGCGCGCGGACGAATGTCCCGGCACTTGGGGAGGCTATTCCTATTCGTTCAAACCCATGGCCGTATGGATCTGCCTACGACCACTATGTTGCGGGTTTCCCTATTCGGTGAGCAACGGTCACCTTTTGCTTTCCACTACTGACGGGGATGACATGGGTTGATAAGGGGTACTCACCAAGCTCCCATGTCAGTTTGGGTTGCAGTAGCATTTGGCAGGCACCCCTGAGGTAGTTTCTCTTTTTCCTTTTCAAACAAGCCAGTCAGGTCCTCAAAGCGACTGTGGATCTTGTGCCTCATGTATCGGTATGGCTCCTTTTTTTTCTCATCCCTGTTGATGTTTTCAAAGCACCTTTTGGGCAAATTAAAAGCGAGTTCCTTTGGGTGTTGTCATGTTTCAAGGGCAAATGTAGGAACCCCGAGTGATGAATGAGCGTTTTCTTTAGTCATTTGCGGGATTCTGGACCTACACATGCGTGTTACGTGGTCCGTGGTCCACCCCTCCCTTTGCCTCAGACCGAAGCCGACGCAGGACTGATAAATCGGTCTAACTTAGTGGCAAGCGAAGCTGGTTTGGCTCAACCCATGCTGAATCAAGACTCAGCGGGACTCAGTCCCAACACCAAAACAGCAAACCCCCGATCTTGAACAGAGTTGGGCGGAAGGAAGGGGACGCGGGGTATCTGCAGACCTGGATCGTACAACGAGCGTGCTTGCGTGCATTCGTGAGTGCCTGTGTGTGTGTGTGTGTGTGTGTGGGTGGGTGGGCGTGCGTGCGCGCGTGCGCGTGCGCTTCCGCGTGTGCGTGTGCGTGTGCGTGTGCGTGTGCGCGTGCGCGCGCGCGGGTGTGTGTGTGTGTGTGTGTGTGTGTGTGTGTGTGTGTGTGTGTGTGTGTGTGTGTGTGTGTGTGTGTGTGTGTGTGTGTGTGTGTGCGTGCGCGTGTGGGTCTTGATTGATGCAACTAGATGTTCGCTTGGTTTTTTTGCTTGATTGCTTGATTGCGCTTTCTTTTTGCGTTTGTTGGCTGGTGTGCCCTTGCCGGTTTTGTAAAGACCACCAAGGATGCTTCTTGTTGAGTATGGTGGTATGAGCACCGCAGAAAGTTGCTTCAAACATTTGGCAAGATAGAGAAGGCCGTTGTCTCTTTAGTATGAGCCCAGTCTGCTCACCATATTGATCCAGTAGCTGTTCTTTATTTGTACTTGTAAGACAGGTGTTGGTTCTCGGAGTGTTTGGGAATTGTTGCATGAGGTGTGCACTTGTTTACCCCCTTTTCCCGGCCAATTCCCTCACTGGATGCCTGCTTGTCCCCTATTCTCCCTTTCGACAAATCCTGTCACTAATATCCAAGCTACACAGATGTTGAGTTTGGCAAGTCAAACCACATATTTTTTGATGAATGGATGCACCAAGAAAGTTGTACGAGTCATTCTTCCAGGTCGGGATGCTACCACACAACTTAATTGGTTTGTGTGGAGTTGGATGTCCACAATGTGGTGCATGCAAAAGGCTTTGGCAATGTGTGGTCAAACACGCCACCGCAGTTACACCCAAGGCCAGAGATGTGTGATCCTCGTGGGGTTTTCACCCGTGCCGTGGAGTCTTTGAGCATGGCTGACCCAAGGCAATGAGAGCCGTTGCTCAAGCTGCTTTGACGTGCCTTGGCGCTGCACGATCGGCTCATCCTTGTGTGTGAGCTCGATACCCGGGGGGTTGAACGAACGAACCCCTAAAATATGACAGCAGAGAGGCCCGGGTGGATGGTTCAATTTGTTGAGCACTCTATCCATGGAACGTTCCACGCAACAGTTGCTTGTTGATTCATGACGCTGGCCCGCAACACCTTTTTTTACATTTCGCTCAATAAGATTCATCAGCGTCATCCTGCAGCCTCAGGTGTTGGCAACGTGTAGCACCCGAAGTGACAAGCAGGGAGGTACTCTGAAACCAAGGAGAACACATTTTGAGGTGAACACGGCCCGTTGCATTGGTGACATTTGGCTGTTTGACAAAACTAGGGTAACCCCAAAATGGCTTGCCCTGGTAAATGGAAACATGGACATTTCAGCCTGCGGTCCGGTTCCTGGTGGGTGAAATTTGACCCATACCCATGAGAAACTGCCTCCCCAGGCAACTGCTCCTGCTAGGAGAGGGGGTCGGCGGATCATTGGTCTTGTGAAACCAACCCCAAAAAACGTTTCCCCCCCCCCCCAAAATAAACACACACACACACACTCGGTACTTGTGCCCAAGCTCACATCACAAGGGGCACTCCCCACAGCCAGTCCCAGGTGTGCGGCAAGACTTTCCCCAGCGGACTGGCGCTCGCTGCGCCCAACACTGGCAGCGCCGGCTTCGCCCCGCGGCAGATGCAAACTTTCGAACCGGGGGGGGCGGCGCGGAGGGTTGCGAACCATCAGGCCTGGGATTGCTGAATTCTTTTGCCAAGCGTTTGCCTTTCCTCAGCCCTCTTGCATGCGCTGACCGCGGCGCTACAGAAAAACCAACGCCTGCTGCCACTGCCCGCCCCTCTCACGCTGATGCTCGCAATCAATCCAATGTCGTTTCATAGCTTCGCTTCTTGTATGATCCTTTAGTCCCCAAAAGTGGGAACCACTTTTTTGTTGGATCCTTATTTCTCTGTGTTCGACGCCCCTCCTTCAATTTGCCCAAGAAACAAGAAGGACAGTTTTCGTTCGGAAAAACTCACAAGGTAACCACCCCCTTGTGGCGTCAAGCGTCTGGTAAAGGAAACATAATGAGAATGGATGCGCTACACGTTTTTTGTTTCACTCATTTGTTCCTTTTGCGTTTGCTGACAGTCTCCTTGCTACAGGTTCAAGCACGAGGCATGCTCTCACCGCAGCCTGAATAATTCCAGTACATTTCATATGCTGAATCTCTATGTGCAAGCTAGTTAGTCCTTGCGTGAGGTTATGGGCTATGTGCGGGAATATGTTCCACTTCTTTTGCGTGGATTGAGTCAGCCTAGGTGACCAGCCTTTCGCAACATCGTGGTGCGTTTGAAAGTGCTGGAAGCATGATTAGGCAAACATGTTTGGCGCTACTCTGATGAGCAAACGGATCTTGGCTGTCGGAATCATATTTGAGGTCGCAATCATATTTGAGGTATTTGCTCGCCAATACTCTGAGCCACAGGGTTTTGGCTGAAGCAAGAGGTTTTCCGGTCGCGCTCAGAGGCTTCATATGTCGCGTCTGATCGGTTCATCGGTTCAGGGATCGGCTCCTCACTAGCCAGCGCATGGTTTCAGGTCAGAAAGTTCGGAGATGCCGGCGTGTTTTTGTTTTTTTTGGTTGCGGTGAGGAGAACTCAACCGCGGACTGCTAATGTCTTTGCTTCCTCATCCAATTGGAGGCTTTCTTTTTGGGCGTCTGAATGACTCTGCAAGGACGGGTATTGATGTTCAAGTCTTGAGTTTTCAGCTTCTCCTCCCACTGTTTCGTAGCTCATTTGTGGGAGGGCGCCTGGAAGATCAGTCTCCTCAAGCAGGTGTCATGGGAAGGAGGGTATTGACAAAACCCGATGCTTTTGTGCAAGCGGGCAAGGTCTCGAAGGTGAAATCCGTGCGAGTGACGAAGGGTGTGCCTTGGATCCGACCAACCGTTTGGGTGAACCGAGCCAAGCAGTGGGTTCGGCCAACATACTCTCAACGTTTTTTTGTTTTTGGCGGGGGGTTTCCCCCTTTTGGTTTTGGGCGGGTTTTAGAAAGGTCAAAAGGACCTGCCATCTGGGCGATCCCTTCTGAGAAATGAGAAATGAGTGTGGCTCAAAAATTAACCAGGAGGGGCAAAACGCAGGTTTTGGTCCATTTCTCCGCTTACCAGACCAAACCCATTTTGGAGTTCCGGTTTTTTGAGCCACAGCCACATGAGCTGGCCACGGATGTGCCCGCGAAAGGGAGCCGATTCCAAAGCCTTCAGATCCCAACAGCGCGGCGGTCACTTGAGAGGTTTGCGCCTCGTTGGTAGCTCCGACTCTTTGACCTGGACATGGGGTTTTTCTAGTGCTAGCTTCCATTTCCATTCTTTCTAGGGGTCCGGATCTTTCTAGAAAGCCTCCGGAAACCCAGGGGAACGGATCCGGTGTTCGAAAAGAACGATGGTGGGAAAGAATGGGGGATCAACCCTTAGAGTTTTGGCGGGACGGCATGTTTTTCCTTGGCCCCAGGCATCCAGTTCCTTGGGTTTGTAGGTTTTTGGTTGGTTTAGTGGGGTCAACGCAGCACGCTGGAAGATGGAGAGGTTTTTCTTTTGATGAAAGGCCACGAAACACGGGGACCTCTTAAAGACAGACCCATGCAGGGGTAGTCTGAGATTCAGGGTCACAGAAATTCCACGAGCCGCTGGGTCGGCTGGCTGCTGGCAGCTGGTCATGGTTGATCAGGCTGGTTGATCAGGCTTGGTCGGTAATGGTTGGTAGTGGTTGCGTGGTTGTGCTGGCGAACATTTTGGCTGGCTGGCTTTATTTTTTTTGGTTGGCCTTGTTGCTTTGCGATTGCAGTTGGCACAGTTTTTGACGAGCCCTTTTGTGGATAGCACACGCATCTCTCCCCCGTTGTGGCTGAATTCTCGTGTGCTGGGTGACTGGATGTTCATGTTCTGCTGGTTCAGCCGGTTCAGCCGGCTCGACTCGCAGCGTGGCCTAGCGCGTCATCGCTCTAGGCGGCCAGCCTGGTGCCCAACTTCTGCATGGGCACCTACAACTTTGGGCAAGTTACCACAGGCGAAGCGGGAACGAGGGGGCGGCGGACGTGTCACACGGCACTTTTCGGGGAAACATGCTGCTCATAAGGCACAAAAACCAAGTGTCATCCAGCGCTTGCCTGGAAAGAATCTGCACACACAAGGCTGTACACTGGCAAGACTATGGGTTTCCCAAATGCTTTAGATGTAGGATCTCTTTCTTCGTTGAAGACAAGTGGTTCGGATGCCTTCACAGATTGCTTGGATCAACGCATGCACATCCTGTTTTGTCTCAAGACAGGGGGACTTGCAACATGAATGGTTTTCTTTTGGCCTTGCCCGCAAGGGGTAGCCTTTCCAAGGAGCCAACCAAGGTCAAGGTTCCAGCCTTCGATTTCTGGGCTCCGCTTCTGCGAAGTTCAAAACCCCAGAAGGTCGTTGGTATCGCGGGCTCCAAATGGCAGCAAAGGAGCAAAAAGCGCAAAAGTCTGACTGCTTTCACTGGGATGCCCCTTGGCCATCGGCAAAAAAGGGGGCATTCTTGTTTGGTTCCGCCACATTGCTCAAGACCACCCCCCCCCCCCCCCCCCTCCCCCAACTGGAGTGAGTGGAGCCCACATCCCGGCCGAAGCCAAAAATCAGGCCGTCCCGCTAAGGCGAAGGGGTTGAGTTGAAAGGGGAATCCTTCCCACAAAAAAAGCGTAAAACCAGGGGCATGTCGTTCTCTCATGGGCCAGTGCCAGGAAGCCGGGTGCAGACGGCGCAGGATGGATGCATAGACTTCGCCGAGGGACAGGCGGACACACCTGCGCTGCCGGAAGATGGTGTCCGCAACCAACAAAAACCACTATGTTCAGGGCTCAATTGGATACAGAACCTTCAGAAAGTGGCGATATGGTTGCGTCCCATGTTGCCCTTGGGAAAAGTGGTTTGAGGGTAGTGGACACCCTCTCAGAGCCATAGGAGGTTACAGTGGCCCTGGCAATGGGGGAACTTCACTTGTCTCGTGGCACATGTTACTTCACGGCATCCGGTGATAACGACAGAAGTTCTTCCAAGGTTTTGTCGGTCACAAGCAGGTCAAGAGCCTCACAGCCAGTTTGGGGTGCCTTCGCCGCCTAAGAGTAACTCTTTACATGGTTCTGGGTTCACCATTTTGGTCCATTTTGGTGCCAGGTTTTGAGTATGACTCATATGCCTGAAGCAATTCGTTGTGTTACTTTTGGTGTACTTTGTGCGAAAAGGCTGCTTGGGTCAACCCCCAGCCCCATGTTTGCCGAAAAACCCCGTTTTCCACCGCAGCTCTTCCAAATGGTACCCGCAAGCCTTTTCCACCAGAGCACAACCAGAGATAGACCGGCTATGCAGTGGCTAAGTTGCTGCATGTCTCATTAACCCCCGGGAAGTGGTTTGAGAATAGAGGAATCATTTTGAATAGACGGGATGCGGATATGTGAGCGAGGCACCAGGACATATTGCGGCTGTGCCTGCGCCGATTCTGGAGCTGGCCCGGGCCTCGTCCTCTTGTTGAGCCGGGTTTGTTGCCGGTTCGGTTGTTTTATCGAAAAGATTCGGAGAGGTCCGCTTGTCTGAGAGGCACGAAAATCCTCCAAAGATCACGTATCCCCAAAAAGAGTATGCCCTCACGACCTGTGTCATGGCTAAGTCATGTTACATCCACGCGAAAGGATCCGAAAGGCATGGACATTTCACAAGCCCCACAAGGGCTTGGAGATCGCAGCATGGTGTGATCTCCATGCTGTTGTGCAACAACGCAGAAGAGGTGAGTCCAGCGGAACGCAGACGCGGTTGTGCAGCTAGCTGGTTTCACCTTATTGGACTCATCGGCCTTAAAACAGCCTGCTGGTCTTCAGACCTGGGTGTTCTTTTTGATGGTACTTTTTTGTTGCTTTAAAACGACAACAAGGAACTCCTATTTGCAGGGCAATGTGCTTGCGGCTTGAATAGTTCCGACACCTCGACGATTAAGGCTGCGTCTGGGCATCCGAGCAAAAAGACACATCTCTCGCATCTGTGTTTTTGTTCTTTGTCATTTTTGAAACTGCACATCAGCCAAGCAACAGTTTTCCTGCGAACAACAACTCAAGTTCTGTTCAGGTATCCCTGAATTGGCGGTTTGGATTCGTGGTTTGGGGTTTGGAACCCCTGGTCACTCCCCAAGCACCTCCAACCGAATCCAAATCAGGTGTCTGGAGACTTGCTGAAAGCGGACTGCTGGGGGCACGGAGATTGGGACCCCAAGGGGACAATAGGCAACGCATGGAGCTTCAAGCCAAAGCACTTCTGGTGGAGTGTCTTTCTATCAAAGGGTTAGAGAGGTTGTAAGGCAACAGACGGTTTGACCCAAGAAGAATTGTTTGTCTGTATACAGGTGAGGCTTTTTCTCGCCACTCAAGAGTGTGACATGCACTTTCCAGGAAGGGCCCTCCTTTCGTGAAAGGAGGGCCCTATGTCGAAGCACAAGTCCCTTTAGCCAAAACCACTCGTGTGACTGTGACACCGGCAAAATCCGCGGGGCCCGATCTAAAGATCGGCCCAATCGGGGGTGTCTTTGTTGGGTTTCGGGTTGGTTTCAGACAGCGATCAAGGTGAAACGGGAGAGCGAGCACCAGGGAGGGCTTGCATGATGCTGGCCTTTCCATTTGGGAAGCCGTGAAAAGAAAATTTGCGATCGGAAGGGGATTCCCTCAAAGGAAAGTGTGGAGGATGGTTTACAAAAATCATTCCCTTATTCCCTGCTGAGAACCAGCAAGACTAGGGCCAATCAGAATTTCTGAATGATATCATGGTCCTTTGTGACATTTGGGGGTCTTGGAATTCAGGACAAGTGCGCAGAGGCCGATTTTGACCGGGCTCCCGAAGAAATTTGCGCTTGCACCCACAAGAAGGCTCACATCAGATTGGCATTGCCACAAAGGTGCTGCTTCAAACCGCCCTCTTTTCTGGAGGCCTTGCGCAAGCTTCTGGGTGGGTCATCCATTTCCACTGCTGGATGCATGAAAGCTAGGGGCTGGGGGGGGGAGGAAGCCCAAAATAAGGAAGGCCTTGTGAAGCCCTTAATAAGGCCTTCTTCAGGGCTTGTTCGCGCTCCCCTCCCTCCCCCCCCCCCCAGCCACTGCTGGATTGTGTCCATGGATCCGATTTCACCGCAACCTGTGCCAGGACCGCGACCCCTTTGATGAGCGCCTGAGCGCGCAGGAGGCAGAAGCCCTGCCCACGCTGCTGGGGCGCTTGGATGAGGTCTTTGCCTTTTTTTTTGGGGGAGGTGCCCCTTTTTGAGGTTGATAGGTGAGTGCGTCTTTTTGGAAGTTGGCATGGCGTTGAATAGGGCCAACCACTGGTTTGGGTGGTTTTTTTGATGAAGCTATGGACTTTTGAAGGCGACAAAAGTAGGGCGGCGATTTCGTCACACCCGAATGTCACGTTCAAATTCTCGAGGCCCGCGCAGGGTGTCACCAGGGAATCGGCTCTCCTTGACACCCCCAGATAGCCGGATGGCCGGGGTCTTTGGGCCCAAGGAGAGTATTCAAGGAAAGATATGTGTGTTTTGGTGGGTAAGTGAGCCACGTTTGGTTTGCCAGGCTTCTCTCATGTTGCGTATATGCTTTGCTGTTTGCTGCCTGTTGCTTTCGTCTCCGTTTGTCAGTGGCTGTACGAGCATGACATCAGGAAACCGCAGCTTTCTTGCTACCAGTACATCTTAACCACGACTTTGCCTTGACGAATCTTGTGTGATGTGGGTCGGATGGAACATGAGCACCTCGCCCACAGAAAAGCCGCGGTGCCGCAATGTCGAAAAATCAACATGCCGGGCTAAGGTGCCGGTGGGATGCCTCCAAAATGGCGGTCAGTCATGGTCAACATACCTTGGGTACATTTTGCTTGGATGTTAGGACTTTAACTTTTTGCCAACTCATGGTTTTTCCATTAAACCACCAAAAGTTAAACTTTTAGCAGGGGAGCAGAAAGCAACCGAGAGACTATAAGGGCGTAGTCGAATTAGCATGGAGTTATGGGGTTTTAACAGAGGACCGCATCATTTCGCTGAGCGGTAGGTGAGAAAGTGTGCGAACGCCCGAGGCCTGCAAGTCTCTACACCGCGGCAGACAGCAACCAGGACTGACCAGGGTGAGGATCAAGGGGTGTCTTCCCCACTTCTGTGCCACAAGGGACTCTGCCCCTTCATATGGAGGGTTAGTCTTTGGGAAGCCCTTGTTGTATCACAGTTGTAATTTCCCGCAGCCCTGGGACTGACCGAGCCACCAACCTGCGCTGCGACCGAACGGGAGATCTGGTGATCTGGTGGCGTCAGATCTGGCTCCAGGGAAAGATGGACAATGACCCCGCAAAATATCCATTTCAGGCCCCCGAGGACCAGGATCGTGTCAAGAAACCCTCCCCTGAGCACCAGCCCATCCCCTGAGAAACTTGCCTAGTGGTGCTGGGCCACTGATAATGCGGTGATTGGTATCCATCAGCATGGCAGCTGTTTCCCGTTTGTTCTTTGAAGGATACCCACAGTTTTGAATATTGATTCCGCACAACTTGGCACCAGGCCACTTGACAACAAGCCACTTGACGATAAGCCTGTGCGTTTTGCAATAGTCAGATTTCAGATGGTTGACATGCTCCGCCATCACGCCGGTAATAGCCTCTACCCGACAGTCAGAGTCGTGCTTGCATCGCGTACACGCATAAATACCCGCGTACACGCATGCATACCCATACATATGGACATATAGACACACAGACATACAGACACATGGACATACAGGCAGCGCACCACCTCTCTGACGTGATGGCCCTTCTGCCGCAACAAACCAAGCAAACCTGCACACATGAGAGGGCACCGCCACAGACGGCAGTATTTGTGATCATTGGGAGCGCACATGCTAATGAAATGCCACATGAGGGTACAGGAGTCCCAAGTAAGTGACGGTGCAGCAGGATAGACTGGTACACAAACGGCAAGGGGTCCATGCTTCCTCTCGATTGGCACAAAGTCTGAGCACGGCATCCGGTTCCACTATGAAGCTTGCGAGCTACTGTTGTCCTCACGAGCTGAGGCGGCGGGGTGCTGCATGCGTGTTTTACATCGCGTATTCTTGCGATCTGAGGTGTGAGGTGGTTCCGGAGTCACACACACACACACACACATGGATTCGTCCCAACATGAAGCCGGCAACTCCAAGTGTATCTGGGTGTGGCTTGTTTTTTGGAGGCTCGGTGCCCTTTTTGGGGCGGCTTAAATGGACACCAAAAGGAAAAACAACAATTTTTTGGGTGTCCCCTAATTTGACACATCCACCCGGAAAAGCGCAACAGTTGGTCCGGCCCAGCAGCTGTGCGGACTTGAACCCACCAGGATGGATTCCTCTCAGCCTCCGAGTACCTGCAGACCTTGATGTTGCATGAGGCCTGGGTCAGCATCTTGGAGCCCGCTGTAAATTCCAGGAACACAGCACGGGGAAGTGTCCAACGGCCGCCACGTTGCTGGTTATGAAGGGATTGCAGATAAAGGCTTGTGGGCGCATTTGAGCGCTTTACCGAATCGAGGCTCCCGCCAACCCTCACCTAATGGACCAAATCTTCAAAAGGGCCGCTGCGGCAATCCATGTTTATACCCGAATCCATTGAAAGACTAGACTTTGCGCAGAACGAGGCGGCTTTCTAGAGCACACCACGTGAAAGGGCCAGGTCCCACAAAAGTTCCTCAAACAAAATTGGCTTGCGCATGCTCTTTGTAGAGGGATTCCTTAAAAAGAAGCCGGCTGGGGAGAAGCGGGAGGCGGTTTCCTCGTGCCGGTGCGTGCGAGGCAAAGCGGGAGGGCGCCAAAGCCTTCATGGGCGCGGCAGGCATGCAGGACGCTGATCGGCTTCGGGTCGACTGAATGGGTCTTGCCTTTGGTGGCAAATTCTTATCGCGGTGGAAGAGCCGGTTTTTCCGCTGTGCTGGAACTTGATACATCGAACTTCTCGAGGGCTCTCAGCCAGTTTGCTCATTGAACGGCTTAATTGAAGGGTCGTGACTGGCGAGACTGAGAGCAAAGTCCATATGCTCAGTCAGCTTGTAGGTACATGTAGGTGGCAGCGGCTTGGGTGAGATGGAGAGTTCAAAGACAAACTAAGTGAAGCGATGAAACTTATCGTCCTGGGGTTCACCATGACTGATGAAGCACATATCCGCAGCATTCTGCAACACATATTGGAGGGGTATTTATTTTGTGTTTTTTTTCCGCTTTGGCTTGGCTTTTCGGCTTCTTGGCTTCTTGGCTTTTTGGCTTCTTGGCTTCTTGGCTTTTCGGCTTGGCTTCTTGGCTTTTTGGCTTCTTGGCTTCTTGGCTTTTTGGCTTCTTGTGCTTTTGTGCTTTTGGTAGCTTTTTGGCTCTGGCTTTTCGCATCCTCTGCATTCCCAGTTCCCCTCTGGCTGGTGGCGTTTTGGCTTTTGCGGCTTGTTGCTGGTTTATGCGGCTTTTGGTGGCTTTGGCTTTTCGCATCCCTGCTTTCCCTTCTCTCCGGTCTTTTTTGCTTTTGCCCCTTTCATTGGTTTTTGGCTTTGGCTTCCCGCATCCTGAGCATCACCAGTTCCTCCCTGTCAATCATCACTTCTTCGAACATCACGGGGGGGAGTCCCCCCCCCCCCAACCCCCCCGCTACTTTTTAGATTGTTTGCAGAGCACCCCTATCTGAATCATCGCTTCTTCAATCGTCTGGGATTTCTCGCAGAGATTTAATTGCACCCCTATTTGAAACATCACTTTTTTGAGCATCCAATTTCGCGAGGAAAACGCTGTAAACTGCGACATTTTATGTAATCTATGTATGTTTGTATGTATAGGGGAAGCCACCCCGCCAACCCTCCCGCTGCTTTTTATATTCTATCGGAGCCTTTCTTGAATCATTGCACCCCAATTGAATCATCACTTCTTCGAACATCATGGGGGGGCTGCCGCCCCCCCCCCCCAACCCCCCCGCTACTTTTTAGATTTCTACAGAGATTTTAATTGCACCGCTATTTGAATCATCGCTTCTTCGAACATCATGGGAGGGGCTGCCGCCCCTCCCCTACCCCGCCCCCCGCTACTTTTTTCAGACTTCTTGCAGAGCCTATTCGAATCATGACTTCTGCGAACATCATGGGGGGGGGCTGCCGCCCCCCCAACCCCCCCCAACCCCCCCGCTACTTTTAGGATTTTGTTAACAGGGATTGAAATGCCTTCCTATTTGAATCCATCATTGTTTTGACCCCGTCAACCCGCCAGCTACTTTTTAGATTTTGTTACCCACAATTTATTGGTGATGCTGGGGATGTTGACGGGCTAGTATAAAATACGTCAATTTCGCCAGAAAATGCTGTAAAATACAACATTTTACTGGCCCAGACGAAACACGAACAACCACTATATATATATATATAAATAGAAGTCCCGAAATAAATCCGCAGCCACACATATTGTTGCCCCCCAGGACGATGTGGTTGATTTTCTCAACACCGGGTCCGTAACAGGGTTGGTGGATTCTTCCCATTGAACGGGTGACGAGTGCGGGGGCGGGGGAAGCTTCGCGCAGGACTCGGCGGCCGCGGCCCTCGGGCCTGGGGAGAGCTCCCTCTCGGAGTCCCAGCGGGCCCCACGGCAGCAAAGCCGTGCTTTCGCGCCCTCAAAACGGACGGGCCGTTCATGTCCAAGATTTTTATTGATAGAAAGAGAAGAATCATGGTGGATGAATGAGACAGAACATGAATGGACAAATCTTTCAACTTTCTATCTCATGTTCTTATCTGTCCATTTCCAGTTTCTTTTGGTTGAGTTTATGATTAGGAAATGAATGGGGTGTGTCACGGGGTGTGTCTCCTTTCAGGCCCCCTTTTGGCTGGCTTCTTAGGAAACTTGAAAAAAGGAAGCCAAGCAAAGACCAGAGCTTCTCGCTTTGATTTGGCCACGTGCGATGTGGTTGCTGTGTGGTTTTCAAGAATTTTCGGTTTCGGGTATCTACAGAAGGCAAGGCCTCCACCCCAGGTGACACGATAAAAGAGAGGCAAGTCAGCGGAAGCTGGACGGCAACAAAGGTTTGGGAGTCCGAACCTGACGCGAGCATGGTACAGCAGCAGACCAGGCCTGGTGCAAGGTAGTGACGTGAAGCTCCGTTTGTCATCCGCAAACTTCCCAGCTGCATCTTTGGGCCCGATGTTGGTTTGACCAAAGCTTTCAGGAGCCAGCATGGAATCTGGCCAATTGGGCTGCCAACAGATTCCAGTGGCCTTACAAGAATTCCAAGTCGTACACAAGAACGGGCTCGTCTCAACGAGGGTCCCGAGTTTTTGCCTTCGCTTGAGCCAACCCCAAAAAGGGGCCGAGCAAAACCAGAGGCGTTGCCGGAGCCGAGGCAGAGCTGGCAAAGAACGCTTTCAGCGGATACGAGGCGAGCTGAAGTCATCCTGGTGTGGGTGTGTGGGTGGGTGGGTTGGTGGAATCAAACCTTGGGTGGGTGCAATCGAACCTTGGGCTGCAAAGAAATCCTGAACAGAACGGAGCACCCGCTTCTAGAACCAAATACGTTTCCTTTTGCAGTGTGCAAGTAAAGAAGTATCTTTGGCTGGGCCGGACTCACCCCCTTCAAGCCGTAACACAGTCGCACAACACCCGTAAAACGACACCCTATCGAGGCATTGATCTCAAGACTGACAGGCAGTTTGGCAGACAGACCTAGCTGAGCCTCTTGGGGTCAAGAGCCGCGCGCCGTCTCCAGCTTCGGAGCCCCATCTCGGCTCGGAAGCTCCGGGTGCTGCGGGGCTTCACGACGCCGCCGCGAGCGAGACCTCCCACCGAACCCATCCGGACTGGTGTTCCGGGGCTCCTGAAAAGATTTTTTTTGGGCCGCCGTTTGGAAGATGTGGCTGGCTTTTTCAACACCAAGATAAAGAAATGGAAACGACACCAGCTGCAAGTTGCCAATGTTCAGGTGTAGAATGTAAAGATCCCTGTTTTGCCATGATCAAAGTCAGCCCCTGAGTGGTGCGTTAAAGGGAAATAAGGGAATCCATCCGTCCCTGGGCCGCGCGCGCGCGAAGACCCCCCGCTCCAAAAACCGTCTCCAGGCCACTGCCGCCGACCCGGAGACGGGCGTGACCCCCGCGCCGCAGCTTGGGCCGAACGGCAGGGGCCTGAGTTGGCGTCCCGTGGCCCAACGAAGAACTAAGATCACCACCAAACCAGAACTGGTCATCTGATGGTTCTGAAAAAAGTTGGACATGTGTTGTGTGGTACCAGATTGCCTGGGTCTGACATACAGTAAGTTGCCAAGTTGCCAAGAAGGATGCCACAGCTGTTGGTGAGTTTCTCTTCCCCACCTGATTGGCGCTTCGGGAAGTTTGGCCACCGTGGCCCAGATCGCACTAAGAGCTAGGCCACAGCTTTTCTTTTGAAGAAACGCGCACACATCCACCCCTCCAAATTAGGAATCCAAAAGGGAAAGATAGGGAACCCCTTCCTGCTTGTTGGATTGGCAAAACCTTGGCGCTTGAAGTGTGCGTGCGTGTTGTTTTGCGGGTGGCCGTCCCCCTATTTTGTTGCATGATCACATGAGTGCTGGCCAAGTTGATGACACCGTTTTTGAAATGTTGCCATGGTAGGGGCAGGCAAAGGCAAGCGTGACCAAGAGCTATTTGTTGGTGCAAGGCTCAGGGGGAGCACGTGTAGGTCTGATTTGATGGATACCGTTTTTGCGGATATTTGAAGCCTTCGGGGAAATGGGACACCACACCCACCCAAAACCGTCCCACAATTCCAAACCTCTGAGCTGAAGGCCTAGAGGCGGCTGGAGAAAAAACCCATGGACTGAGGCCAGGTGATCGTGAGCGCGGCCCTGCGCTTAGAGGGGAAGGCGAAGTTCGCTGGGCCATGACGTATGCATGGCTTTGCTGGATCTGGAATGCAAGCACTGGGCGGGTTTTCTTTGGTTTCCCTTTGCAACCCGCGGTGTGCCGCTCGAGTGAGTTCTAATCACCAACGCGTTGTGGGAGTCCCAAATCATTTTCTCCGATAGGATGCTGGTGCAAGGACTTATATGGCCATGAATTTTGCTAGGGAACCACCTGAAAAGTGATTGGTGGACATGAATCCCCACCTAAATGATGTCCACCAAAACGGGACCCTTAGTAAAACTCATACCCGCTTTGAGGTGTAGGCATCCCGAATTGCTGGCTCCATTTGGAGACGCAGCGTCCAGGTCCTGGGAGCGCGGCAAGCGAACTCAGCAAGCGCTTCTGCAATTTTGCCAGTTGTGCGCTTGTGTGTTCAACAGAAGGCTTTCCCAAGCATGGTTGTCTCCTGGACTCTTTCAGCCAATCCCAATCGCGAGTGTCTCCGTGAACAGAATACATGGGCGAGTCTTGTTTTGAGGATACCCCTTTTGGAGAGGTTTGAAAGGGAAGGCAAAACACAACCTGAAACCTAACCATTTTTGGGGTCCTCTAGTTGAAGACAAGCCCACATGCTCACGGCATACTGCACAGAGGGAACCTGAGGGATGGATTCTTTTCAGTCCCGCCCTGCTGTGTTCAAAGTACTGCTGCATACAGGGTTCTACATCACCGACCCCTGTCCCATTCATGGGTATAGCCTACCCAGCGGGACCCCGGCAAGCCGCTAGAGTGGGCGGGACCTTTTTGAAGCGTGGTTCACTTGACGGCTATCCATGTCAATTCGAAGCTCCAAAGTGGGGGACATTTTTCTTCACCGAGTTCTGTCCATTTCAGGGTCCAACCGGACCCAAACTCCCCCCCCCAGCCCAAGGTGAACGGACTCCCTGGGCCCCGTTTCAGGGGTTTCAGCGGCTGCCGAGTCCTCGGACGTCGCGGACTTCGGGGATGTGCGGGACGAGAGCATGGTGGACGGCTTCTACAACCCCCAGATCGAGAGCAGCACCGGCGGAGTTTTCTGGACGGATCGAAGAAAAGCCAACCATGTTCCACCATTTAATTCCATTTTCCACCATTTTCCTGGCACAACTCTCACCCTCTGTTGTGGTACCTTGGGGCCCCAGTGTTTGTATTTTGGATTCTCGCCCTGGGCTCCAAACACACCAGGTTTCCTTGGGGCGAGGATGTGAATTCAACAACTCTGGGAGCCAGGTGTCATGTACCGGTGCGCAGTCTCAAGCTTCAGCCAGAGGGAAACACAAGCCACACACCCATTTGGTGTGTCTTAGAGGGTAGCCCTTTCGCCTGTTTGAAGGGAGAACTCCGAAGGAACGCCAAACAAAAGCCACCGATTTGGGGGCCATGCCTACAAAAGAGACAAAACCCATTTGTAGGTGTTCTCCCCCCCCTCCCCCGTTTTTGAAGCATCAGCCCAGCATGCCCGTGGCTCCTGGCAGGCAAAGTTTCGCTGTGTGTCGATGGCATGGCGTGCCTCGGCAGCACTGACCGCGACCCAAGGCAAGCCAAGATGGCCCCAACTGGGTCAGCTGACTCTACTTTCAGCAAGCCTGGTGGCCAACTTTTTCTGGACATCAATGGAGCATGTCCTCAATGCGCCTTGCTCGGACGTAATGTTCCTGGCGGCGTTTTGCCGCCACCTGAAGCTGTTGAGCGATCGGCCAAAGCCAAGTCCCCCAAAGGAAGCCATTTGAGGCCTAATTATGGTCCATTCGCAGAATCCCTTGAGGTTTGATGCGGGCCTTTGCTATGACTACTGCAACTTGGCCAATGCATGGGGCGGCGGTTGATAGATTTCGCTGCAAGCACCCTTGCCACTCCGAAATGCAGTCCTGCTATGTCGTCTCAACTTCAACTTTAGTGGCATGTTCACTTGATGTGTGGTGTGGTGACGTTACGTGGTACATGTAACATGCCATTCCAAGGCGTTCACCATTCCACTGCTAGGCTCATTTGACTATCCCGACGCCATCATGAACACGTGCATGAAAGAGCCGCGGCCTTGGTGGGTAACACCCATTGTCCCGATATGGACCAGGCGCTTTCGGATCTGCCTATTCTATAGCGAGCTCACCCGCGGGTATAACGAGCTTACCTTGTCCTTTGCTCGGGGATCCCTTAATTCAGGTTTTGGCAATCGGATCCCTTCTGGCATGAGACAAAGCTCGATTTTCAGAACTGTGCAGAAAGACTTTCGGTGCCAAAGGGCTGAAGGCCGAGCATGCCAAGCTCTAACCATGCTTCGGAGGTGGGTCCACATCTTCGGCCCACTTGCGTTCCGCGTTCGGAGCTTCCCAGAATGGATCCGCCGAGGCATTGCCCCGACGGCTTCTACGAGATCGTCGGGGGGGTTTGCAAGAAGGACGGCTGGAACATAGAGACCGCGATGAAGGACCGGGGCAAAATTGTTCCATCCCTAGGAGGGGCGCACCGGCTCATGGGCCCCTGGAGCATTAAGCATGTGTTTGGTGGGATTTTGTCGTTGATTTTTATTGTTGTAAGGAATTTAGTCCGATTTTGTGGCTTTCGTGTTCTGCAGGCATCGACAACTGGTCCTAAAGCCACTTCAAAACCACCCTAATCCTTTCCTAAACCCACCCTGGCTCTCAACCAACCCTAACGTCACACTAAACCAATCCTAAACAAAGCCTCAACCCGCCATATACCCACCCTAAACCCTTGTTTAATCCGAAACCCACCCAAAAACCAACCCTCAACCCTCACAAATTTGCCCTCAATCCGCTCTAGACCAGCCCACCCTAAGCCAACCCTAAACCAAGCTGGTACCAACCCCAAAACCAGCCCCAAACCACCCCCAAGCCAACCGCGAACCCATCGTACTCCACCTATCTAGATCTTCCTGCCGCCCGTGCGACATGTTGCAGGTCTTGCTGGTTGCAACAAGTTAAGAGCTGTACATTTCTTTCTTTGTTTCTTTCTTTCTTTCTTTCTTTCTTTCTTTCTTTCTGTCTTTCTGTCTTTCTTTCTTTCTTTCTTTCTTTCTTTCTTTCTTTCTTTCTTTCTTTCTTTCTTCTGTGGGGCGGGGGCTTGATTTTCAGTCAAAGGACAGAAGGACAATTCCGGCGAGGACTGTAAACCGTTGCGTGGCTGGAAACGGCTGGACCAAAGTCGACAGCAGCCTTCCCAGGCGATTTTGGCTTGGCTGTATTCAGAAAGGCCTGTGCAAGGCCACACACAGGAAATCCGAAAAACATGTCCCGAAATGTTTACCCAAAATCTGAAAATCATGTTTTAAAATCTTAGAATCTTTTCTCAACATCTTTGAATCTTTTGCCAGCATCTTACAATATTCTCCAAAAAACATTAAATTAATTAAGCATTTTCTTCAAACTCGTTAGACTGACCACAACATGTTGAAACGTTTTAACCGCTATTGTGCGCAAAGCATGACTGGTTTTGAAGGCTGTAGAAGTACACTTGCATTGACGTTATGTTGAGCAATGAGTACGGTATTGAGGGTTTTGCAACTTTTGGATGTTGAGACGCGGCCTAGCAAATGAAGCAAATCACTTGTCACTTGCATCACACATGTGACAGGGAACTGCGTGTTACATAGCATTTGCGTAGTTTGGCTTGTAGCGTGCTTCGTGCTCCAGAATAGGCTTGCCATTGGCCATGGACCATGGAGCTTGCGGATGTCCTGCAAGTCATTAATGCGCACGCTGCGCACCTTTTTCCAGATGCAGGGGCGGGTTCGCCGAGTCGCGCAGATGGTCGTGGACCGAGCCCTTGCCCAAGCAGAGCGCAGGGTGGCCATGCAGACAACAGCCGTCAAAGACGGCGGTTAGGCCGAGGCCTCGCGCCGTGAATCGCAAAAGGCGCAAGCGTGGTGCTCTACAGCGGCGGAAGGAGCGTCAGCTGGACAAGCAGGCGCTTTCATTCAACCAGAGTGGCCGCGCCAGGACGCGCGACTTCGAGTTTCCCACCCACAAAGAGCAGCTGCAAAGGCAAGCCTCCAAGGGGAGAGGCGCTTGGAAGGCGTGGACGCCGCAGGCAATCTTACGCGCTGCTTTTGCTTCTGCCAACACGGCTGCCCGCAACACCCGTGAGCAGCTGGAGGGGGCATCTACCTCCCACGCCGGGCAGGCTAGGATGGTAGCTGCCCAGTGCGTATTACGAGGACAAGAGGTTGGCATGAAGAAGGCCGTGGGCCGTGAGTGCCAGCTGTGCATCAGCAATTTGATGTTTGACGAGTCGGGTTTCAGCCTGAAGCTGGGCAAAGGCCAGCCGCTGACAGAGTGTTCGGTTCTTTGCTCCCATGCCCAGCTGACTTCCAGCCCCAAGGCGGGGAAGTTGTGGACGAGCACATTGCAAGGCCTCCTGTCCTGCTACCGGCGATGAACTGGCTCACGCTTTGGTCGGCTTTAAAGGATGGCCTTGGCGCCGAGTGTGAGGCCCGCTTTGTAGCAACTTTGACATCGTGCGACGCGCGCGCGGCCAACGTCAAGATGCTCAGGTACCTGGAGCACACGCTGCCTGAGGGGCGCTTTCTGGTGCCTGTGCTGTGCGCGCAGCACAGGACAGGAAACGTTGTCGAGCAACTCACAAAACACCTGGGACTTCTGGGCGGGAATTTCGCAGTCACTAAAACGATGTCGCGGCACACGCTTCTCAGATCTGTGCGCCAGAAGGTCCGAGACCGTGTCCGAGACACCAGCTGCGGCGTTGCAGGAGTGGCAAGCTGCCAAGGACATGTCGCGCAAGCTGATTGAGCTGTGTTGCTTTGAGTCGCCCCAGCCTGGCCGGCCAGTTTTTTTCAGCAGCCCGTGGACAGGACCGTTTTGTGGGGCCATGGGGTGTGGGCGCAGGGAAATGAGCGTGAGCATGGGCCGGTCATGGCCTGCGTTTTTTCTTCGGAGCCCTGCGGCTTTTTCACATGTAGCCAGGCAGCGGTGCGAGCATGTGTGTGGAATAGCTGGCCCCCTTTTTTTTCTGGATCCCCTTCCTGAAGAATGCCCGGCTTTAGCACGTTGGCTCAAACCAGTTTGCCTGGCAGGTCGTGGACCGTGCGGGTAGGTCGTGGACCGTGTTGCTGCAATGGTGTCGCGTGAGACACTTTCCAGCATGTTCGCGGCCATGGACTCCCGCACTAGCCAGGTGCGCAAGTTGGAGTGGGAAGGCAGAGCGGGCAAGTCCTTCAAAGAGGCCCACGAGTTGCTGGAGGAGCGGCTGGTTGCAGACTCCTACGGCTCGGTGGAGAGCATCCGCTGGGCCCGGGACAACTCGAAGACCCAAGGCTTTGTTTAGCATTGTTCTAATCGTTTTACTCCAGTTAGTTTTCCCCTGCTGTTGCTACTGCTGCCGCTGCTTCTGCTGTAGCCACTTCCGCTTTTTTCCAGCGCGTTTTGTTTGAGCTGTTTTGTAGCTCGCGTGACAGTTCTAAGGCACGCTATGCACGTGGTCCTCCACACGGCTTCAGGAGGGCAGCTGTGGCTCGGAGGAGCGCGTGCAAGCGCGCCGAGCTCATGCTCGCCAACAGGGTCGCCTTTGTGCTGTCAGCGGCAAGCAAGCCAAGCCCCGTGCAGGATCCCAGGATCAGGCGCGTGGGTGTGTTCGATGGCACAGGCGTCATCGCAGCGACTGTGAGTTGGCACCGGCTGCTGGAGGCCATAGGCCGTGTTGCCAAACTCTTGGAAGAAGGCGAATGCGTACTTATCAGCTGCAGAAACGGAGCGCACCGCAGCAGCCTAATCGCTGCCCTCATTCTGATGTTCCTCACCCGCCGCTCCGCCGACGAGGTGGCTGAGTACTTGCGCTCTCTGCGCAACATCGTGTCACTCGACGAGCACCATCCCTCGCACCGGCAGCGGGGCTTGGAAACGCCCCTGCAGTTCTTGCGCTCTGTGGCGGCAGACATCCGCATGCACTCTGAGGCGTGCAGCCAGGAGGTGCTGCCCCTGAACCCGGTGATGTCGCCAAGTGAGTTCAGGCTGTATGCCTTGTCGCTTGGCTTTTGGCAGCCGCTGTACTTGGACTCTATGGAGGTTGTGCCTGGCGCCTCTGCGAAAGGGAGGGCGAAGCCAACAGAAGGCAGCCGGCCTGCACCAGCGCCTTGCTGGCAGCAGAAATGATTTTCTTGTTCTGCTGGTATAGGGTGGTTGACGATTGGAAATTGGGAGCTGCTTTGCTTTTGCCGCGGCCTAGGCTCCACACGGCAGCGGTGGCAGCCAGGCCGAGTCAGCTTCGGCTTCGCTCTCGGGGAGCTCATCCCGGAAGCGGCCGTCAGACGAGCTTGCTGTGGACACCGAGGCGGTATCGGGGGCCGTGCTTGTAAGGTGCTGCAGTGCCACGGGCCATGTGGCTGTTGTAAGGTGTCAAGCCTGTAAAGTTGCAACTGCCTGTGTTTGTATCAGGGTCCCTTCGCTTGAGTTATTGCGTCCGAAGTTGAAACGGGGCCATGTTAGGCGTCTTGGACTTTTCCGGAGAGAGACGCTTCTGACTTGGAGCAGCATGAGGGGGGCGAAGGCTTCGAAGGAGGCGAAGGTGAAGGTACAGGCCAAGGTGCAGGTGAGGGTGCAGGAGGGTGGCAGCCGACCGACCAGCAGATCGCTGAGGTGCTTGCTGCGGACACCGACGCCGAGCGTGAGAGGCACTTTGCCAAGCTCAAGGACATCGTCGAGTCCCTCGGTGCCCTGGGGCAGCGCTTGACGGAGTTCCGCAGCAGCTCCACGCCGTCCACGCCTCGCGGCGAAGGTGGCGGTGCGCCGAGTCATGCTGAGCTTCCGACAAGGGAGGAGGCAGAAACGGCAGAGGAAGAGGGGCAGGCGCCGAAGGATCCAGCCCAGCTCTTGAAGGACGTGGCGCAAAGCGGCACGGCGGAGGAGACAAGTCGCCTTTGCGAGCTGCTGCTGGAACAGCGAGACCATCTTCAGCAGCTGTTGGACCGCCAAGAGATGTCTAGTGGCAGCCTGCTAAATGCCATTTTGGCAGAGCAGGAGGCAACAGCTTTGGAGCTGATTCAGAAGGCTCGCCCGGACCAAATTTTGGCCACGAGAGACAGCAGCGGCAAGACTGCCCTCCACCTGGCTGCTCGCCTTCACCTGGTTGTTTGGGCGCTCTTGGACAAGGCTCCAGGCCTTGCAGACATTGTTACATATGCTGATCGCTTGCCACCACGATGGACAGCTCTTATGATACTTGCCGATCTGCCCGCAGAGCCTAATGCCCAGGTCGGCGCAGCGCTGGCTTCCCATATGACTCTTGAGGGGCTCAACTGCCGAAGCACCAAGACTGCAACCATGGTGGCTGTGAGCCGAGGTCATATCGGCTTGATTAAGAGGATCCTGTACAGGATCAATGACCTGGGAGGCCGTGCGGCCGTGAGGGCGCACTTGAGCACCACCAACCAGCAAGCTGCTTGCGCTAAAACCC